CACTGCATATTATTGAACAAACAACATGTGCACCTTGAGCATGTCATGAGGAATTGAAAAGAAGATTTTTTTATTTGTTAAAAGAAAAAAGTCTCGAATATATTTTTTATTATTCGATTATGTGTCGTGTGCCACCTGCTCGTTAATTCTACTCTCTTTTTTACAGCACTATACATACACTGCACAGCTGAAAAGGTGCATAATAGTTTTTATATGGCCAATTTTTTTATCTCTTCCACCAAGCATACATAAAAAAAAAGTTGAAATGAAATGTGCTTGAATTTTATGGAAATGTACACGCGCGCGACTAAATACTGATCAGCTTGATGATATCTTTCTCCTTCCTTCCTTTTGTTCCAAGAATAAATTTAAAAAAAATTATGATTAAATATGCAAATTGAGTTTGTTGAGTCGTGTAAATGAAATGAATTTGATAACATTTGACACCTCTAATGGATTCCTTTAACTTAATATTCCAGAGAATCTTAAAATGAAAAGCAAAGACGAAAGATAAAGTGTTCTGAAAAAAAAAAGGGAATATCTAATGAAGTAGACTCACAATGATGTCATCAAAGGATCTCTTCTAATGCCTTTATTCTACTATAAGGTTAACAGGGTTAAATGTTGAATAATAACGAATAGACGAAGGAAATTGAAACACAGTAAGATATGGGCACCCTAAAAGCAGTTAACGCAATTAACATAAATGAATTTCCATTTGAAGTGCACTCTCAGTCAATGTGTTTATGTATTCATGCTGCTACTGACAATTCTTTTAGCCGGATTTTTAATGTCATTAGTGTGGATTTTGTGTGTTGTGTGCGGATTGACTAGGATTTTTTTTTGTGGGAAGTTATGATTGCTTTTGGATTCAAATTGGTTTTTTGTTTTATATCTTTTCATTAGGATTGTAGTCAGGATGTGTCAATGGGGTTTAAATAGGCTCTACTGACTCTATTGCTAGACTTTTGAACTAAGCTATTGCTTAGCCGGCTTAAGATCTCATTAAAAATAGCAATTTGTATGAGAAAATTTTGGACCCCCCCCCCCCCCTTCGCTCAGCCCACCAAAAATTAAAGAAATTCAAATTAATTAATATAAATGCGCTCTATACTCTGACCATCAACCTATGCATCCCCAACTTAAATGCCTTCCCTTCTTAGTAAGTTGGGGGAATTTAGTACTAAAATTAAATTATATTCCTTCAAGTTTTACTTCAAAAAATTGCTTTTCATGTCACTACATTTCTGATGAAGTTGATGATTTGTTTCTGTGTATTTTCATATGCTTTCCCCTTTTACTAAGTACCTAATGTGTATGTGCGCCTATCAAATATTCATAATTATTTCATTATTTTGTGCTTTGTAGACCAAAAGAAGCAATAATAATAGTAATAACAATTCTACGGTAAATGGAGTTATTAAAAAGTTATTGCCTGCCTTTTTTTCTCTTTCTTTCTTTTTATTACGCATTGTGTAGGCTTTTATTAATGCTGAACTTTATATCAAATGAACCAGAAAGAAACATAAAAATTGGTGAAATAAAATTTTTTAATATATTCTGAAGTTAAAAAAATTTTGTTGGGGTTTTAATATGTATGCATACGTCATCGGCCACATAAATAAATATTAGGTGAAATTCCTGAAATTACGAGTAAGGCGAAAATCTTCATGTGGTAAACGGTGCCGCTTTTTATGGGCCATTATGCTACTCAGCTTCTGATGATGAGTTTGAAAAATAATAATAAATGGAATTTAAATTTTATTATGGCTCAGTGGCAGGTGGAATGTAACAAATTGGATGATATGCTTAAATTCGGGTCAGAAATTCAATTAACGGATATTCAGGATTTAAAAATGTTGTTCAGAACATTTTGAAATTCTATAAGTCGTTAAAATTTGAATTCCAAAAAGCCGTTAAAATTTGACATCCAAAAACCCGTTAACATAAAAATTTGCGTCCCAGCTTATCATTTAACCCACATTCCTTACCAGATTAAAGATATTTAACAAGCATAAAAGAACTGTTTTCTTCTTCTCCTTTTCATCCCATAACAAACGACGACAAAATATTATTATTATGTAGGTATGCTTGAATGACACTTTTAGTGAATGTACGCACAACATTAAATTGCAAAGAAAGAGGAAGAAAGAAAGGAAATTTTAAAGGCGTAAACGATATTTCACATGTCTTACTTTTTTTTTGCGAACATAACACGGTGCCTGAACTTTAAAAGTTGATGCCGAGTCTACATAAGTGTGAAATTTGATGATGCATACAAAACGGGTACATATGTGGAATATTTATAGAAATGCGAGCTGGAAGGAATTCTTTTTTTTTCAACCAATAAAAATGTATTTTTTGAGGAAAATAAATACGAATTTTTTGGGATCAATAGTCAAAATTGAAAGAGAATAAATATCCACAGAACGGGAACAAAATCACGTAGAGCTATTATATCTTTTTAAAAATTGATATTACCTTCCTTTATTTGATGTATTTTTGGATATATCAATATTCAATATAAATAGGGAGAATCCAAAAACAAACCATATAACTTTATTGGATTCTAATGTGTTAAGCTCAATGGCTTTGTACCTCTAATTCTATAAAATAATGTTGGATATATGAGAGAATTTTTAATTAAATTTCACATTCAGATTTTCTATAATTTATTTATAGCCAGTTTATGCTAAATGTTGGAATCATGTTGCAAAAAGTTTGTATTTTCATTCATTCCTCGTTCTAAGCACTTTTTAATGAATGTTGGGAATGAGTTTTATGCCTGGATTAAAGATTTGGATAGTGACATTGCTGAATTTATGAATTAGTAAGGAATTTGCAGTGTTTTGTTGGATTTTCAATTGAGTTTTGGTAAATTTTTGTTTACTTTCTCATATAGAGATTTTGAGTTACTATTTCAGCCTCAAAGCATGTTTTTAAGATATTTTAATGGTTTTAAAGAGACAATTAAGAGTGAGCAAAGCTATTAACATCAAGCAGTACCAAGAAATAGTTCTTATATCTTGAAAAACAACAATTTTAAATTTTATAACAAATTCAATCTTTGTAAATAAACTGATTAAAAAGAGCGGGAAAAATTCAAATATTTAAAACTTAACTGTTATTTCTTCATTCAACCTATTGTAGCTACATTGTTAATTGAATTTCTACAAACTTCCAAACATTTTCAAAGGAACAAGGCCACTAACCTCTACCCAAATCTAGTCAATTATCAATCCTACAAAATTAACCAACACACGAGCCTCAAAATCACTTCCATTTAGGTCAATAAGGCCATTTCATCGCTATTCAAAAAGTGATTCTTCATTTTATTCCATGTCAAAAATTTCTGTTTCGCAGACTCATAAAAATAAAAATTCACTTGAGAGTTTATTAGCATTCAAAGTACTTATTAAGACATAAAAATTTGATACGTGCTCCTCAACACTTAAGCCAATCAGACTGTTGACCATTTAATTTTGTAATAAAAATGCGCTAAAATCATCAATCGACAAAAGCATTTTCTCTATCCACATGCTGTAGATTCTATAAATATTTCTTTGACTGAAAATGCTAATTCATCGGATGCCGCAGCATATATGCATTGCCATTTTCATAAATTGAATTTTCACAATCGAGGCACAAGTTCAGTTCAGCAGCAAAAGAAAAAAAGGAATTCTGAAAATATTTTTTTTTTCACATCCAACAATAAAGCAAGCATGAAGAAGAACAAGAATGTCAGGCGCCTGCCATCGCTCAATAGCAAGCAGAAATGAGAAATTTTAAAAATGTGATACGAGACAAGAACTTTATTTCGCACTCAATGAATGGATAATGATCAGAACTGAGGGTAAATTAAGTCGTAAATAAGCATTGCACGCATTCGATAGCTTGTCGATTAAGTTGGCGCTATAATTGACAAGTTTTCACAATTATTTTTTTCTTAATAATTGACAAGCGTCAACAAGCATGTCATAAGCGAGTGAATGCAGCATAATAAAAAGGAGGTTTATTTATTTTTTGTGCTGCTGCTGAATAGTTTTTTTTTTATGTCAATTGACTCATGTTTTCTTCAATCATTCAGTCACTTAGACAGAGTTGGGGTTTCTTGGGTTTGAAGCTGTATGATTGAAACTTCATGGCAGTATCCATAAAAGTGATCCAAATCACTTTTGTATCACTAATTATTGATCTGATCAGTGGCCATTAAATGAGTTTGCCAGTTCATTTGCCCATTGACTATAAACTTAAATCCAGGAATCCTAAGTTCAAGTCTCACTAAATCAATTTGTTGTTTTTGAATTGAAATTGAGCTCCTTGGCTTGTGTAAGATTTTTCCTTTTTAAAGCAACCTGAATCTTAATCAAACTAAGCTTCAAACTCCATTAATAATCCAAAAACAGACTCAGCAACAAAGGAATCCCAAAACTCATCAATTAAAACATCAAAGGCCATTCTAACACAGAAGCACCTATTACCCCAACCCTGCATGTCATTCAATACTTAATTGCGATATGTACAAATGTGAAAATAAATGTCCAATTCAAGAAAACCTCGAGTGAGGCCTGAGTGAGAAAGAAAAATCAATGCTTAATGTTGCATAAAATTGAATCGCAATTGAGTATTGATTTACCGTAAAAAAAACAGCGCAAGACCATATAGTGAGAGTCACCAGAGAATCAATTCATTGTGTATGATGTTCACTTATCATTCCATTCACATTTCTCTTTATTGCTTTTATCGCAAGGAATGTCTTAATATGGACAATTTATCAGCATTTACGTTTATACACTACATTATGCTCATTGTACACGTTTGCCGTTTAAATTTATCTCAATTTATGTTTGTCGCTTTTTTTTTGTAAATGCGAAAACATTTCTCATCAGAAATAGACGTCAATTTTTTTAAATTTATTTAAATTCTTACTTCATGTGACATAGACAGCAACATAGAAAAAATTCTACTTCCGAATTACGCATAAAATCTCAAAGACTTACCATTATTAAACTGTCGAGCTCTCCTAGCCAATTATTCAACAACTTCTCGGGATCGTCTGTTGACTGCGACATCTTCTTTGATTTTTCTTCTGCTTTCTTGCCTTCTTTAATGCTCCACTTTGATGACGATGATGAAAATTATGATAAAATATTCTGTAAGAAATGAAAATATTTTTTGGATAAATATTTAAATTAGGATCAAGTTTGAGAGATGTTTGATAAGCAATTGGGGAGATTTTTGTCGCGCAATCTTATAAAAGGCAATTTTATGGATGATTAGGTAAAGGAGTAAGGGTTAGCAATCTGTAAGAGTTCAGTCAGTTGACAAAATTAAATTTATATACACAATCGAAGCTGCTTCTTCAAGAACGTCTAGGTTCGAGTCCCATAGATTTTGTTGAATATTTTATTTCGTTCCTAGACAGTTGAACCACTGAAACCTTCTTAAACATCAAAACAAAACCTTAATCGTATATAGATTCATATCAATCCACTATTGACTAGGGAATTCCAAACAAACACCTAAAGTACCTCACATATTCACAAAACAACATGAATAAGAAACCAAACCGAATTCCCATCGACTCAAGTGTGGATTTCCCATCCAAAAAGAATTATCCATGTCACATTGACACAATAATTCCATGAGTAAAATCTCATACACCTGTGCAGAAATCAAGTGTCAAATGCATGACACAGATTGAATCATAAAGCAGGTCAGTAAAACCATTCATTATTCTTATACAAAGTCGACATTGACATATACTCAAAATGAAGACAATTTAGACAGTCTCACAAGAAAAGCATGCTCTAGAGATATTATATCTTTTACATTTTTTATCAATGAAATTTTCCATGCCAATTTTCGCACTGAGATTTTTCCACTTGATGAATAATGAATGAAATTGTATCATCGCTTTTATCATCACAAAGTGCTACAAATTAATTCTTTTTTCCTTTCTTTGTGTGTAATGTACGGCGCCATCAGATACATAATCCAATTTTTTGAAGACATTGAATACATTTTAAAAGACTAGTAGTTGGAATTTTAAAAACATGTTTTTATGACCGAAACAAGAAAAAAAATCAATTTTCATTTTCAAGTTCATATCAATCTTGTTAACAACGACATAATATCAATTTAGTAACTGAACATAAGCAGCTTATAGATAGTAAAAAGCGCATTTTACACTGCACATAGTTGGAATGTTTTTTATCGTTTTTACAAAAAAATATCGACCAAAAAATATTTGAAAAATAACGATCAAAAAATTTTTTTAAAAAAAGAAAGAAATTCAAAATAGAGGCAAAAAAACTATTCACTTCGAAAAGTTTTTTGGCTAAATCTTAACGATAAAGTCATCAATAAACAAAATTTATTTGAATTCTAGTTCTAAAGAGTGGTAAGCATCATTTGAGATGAATTCTGCATTGAGAAAGCTTAGACATACAGTCAAACCACAGACAAACTTCTCAATATCATCAGAATTAATCCACAATAAATATATATTACTTCCAGTAGTTTATGTTGCATGTCCATCGAAAAGTTAACGAGATTGAGGAAAGAAGAAGCCAAAATATTTATTGAAAGACAGTTACTTGACACCCGAAACGAGAAAATAAAGAGAAATTTTTTTGACAATCAAGCGACGCTTAATCATTTTGATTAATTGGAAAAGGCGGGCAATTACAGTAAATGAAATTGTTGCTGTTTCATCATAAAAAGTGTCATAAACTGAAATTTTATGTACTGTATTAACTGATATTAAAAATGATGTCTAACAATTGTGAAAAGGGATTGTAAAAAGAAGAATATTGACGACAACTTAATGTGAGCGCCTTAAATGTATGCAAACGTTGAAAATTCTTCCAAAAAAAAATATATAAAGCGAAAATATTAAAAGAAGAACGAGAAAAGCAATTTCGCGAATGTGAACAGCACATATGGATGTGAGACGCGATTTTAGTAAGCTGTTGATATCATGCTGTTTGATTACTTTGATGGGAGTTGACCTTGATCAATTTGTTGAATTTGTATCAATTTTGGTGGTCGAATGAGAATTGAATGCGGATATCGATATAGATTACGTCATGTAAAAAGAACTTGTTTGGGTTTGATTTGTATTCTTTGACAAAAAAAAAGCTTAAATTCTTTATTTTCTTAATAAATATTTGCTGAGACTGTCATTTGGGGATTTGGGTTAGAGTTAAATTTGAGGTGTCGAGTCATAATACTGCATAATTGCCAGTTTAAACTAGATAGATATATTAACTCTTTGGTCTATACTTTAGGTTTGTTAAGAGGCTTTTGAGGACGTGTGTTTGATTCCTACTTTCACCTTATACTCCTTAGTAAACATTTTCTTCAAAAAACTCTTATTCCTTCAAACTCAACCTCTCTAGCATCTAAAATAATGACAATTACTTTATATTACAAGTTAAAGTGTACAACCTTAAAGTATTACTTATTGCAGTAATAATATTAAGTCAATTTCTCACTTAAAACAAATTGTCTCTATTTCGGATTTACATTAAGTATAATACAATAAATTGTTATTCAATTAACCTAATTTATTAGGCAAATTTTATTGAAACAATAGTAATAAAATTTGTTATTTATGTTTCGTGGTTTTCACGACAATCTGGAGGTGGAAATGGCAGAAATTCTAACAGCCTTTTGTTCTATTTCCATAAAACATGATCAATTAGTTGCTAATTTACAGAATAAAACCACATAATGAGTCCTTGAACTTCTTGTTATTGTAAATTCGAAGTATTTAGTAATTTTCACGACTAATATAATTTCCGAGAACTATTAAGCACGACTATCTCCAAGCAACATTTAATAGTATCAACATCTGTTCATATATCTTTCAGCAACAAGAATCGAATATATCTGTGTGGTTGCGTAGCTTCAAATTCAATGGAATTTAAAGCAAATGTCGTTTTAATTTTTCTCGCTATTCTGATTTGATATTGATCCCCCAAAAAAATGTCTGTCACCCAGGAAATTAAATTCTAGAAGCGAAAAGATGGCAAGAACACATTCACATTAAAGCTATTAAAATTGCCAATATTTCCATAAGTAACAGCTCTTCGGAAGTGGTAAGCCTTGTTTAAACATTTATGGATAAAATTTTTAACAGTTAAAAAACTTTTTAATGTTCCGAGCAGCACACAAAAATTTGCTTTTTTTTTTGTTCCTAGTCATCGACGCCTATCTTTTTTAATAATATTAAGAGAAACAAGGAAGGTAAAAACAAACTTTTTAATTTACTTGTTTAAACTGCCCACGGCATTAAAAATGGTCTATTTTAATTTTCCGAGGAACAAGCTGAATATGTGCATAATTTTTATATTATTCAGGGTTGTTATCTGGAATATATGATCGGAGTGGCAGTCAAGAGAAACTGTTAATATTTTTGCAGATATTGTGAGTTTTTCGCGCCAATTTTCTTGGTCTGTTTACAAAATCTAGTAAATTTAAATTTTGTAAGTTCTGTATCAGTTTAACTGATATGAAGCTTCAAAGCTATGTCTAAAGCTTTGCTCATAAATTATCAGCACTTTGCAATGATTTAAACAGGTTAAAAACATCGAACTAATCTAAAATTAAAAGATTAAATCTCGATGTGAGAAATTTAACAATTTGAATTTTTCAAAATTTGAACTTTAAACTGCATTTGTGTTGAATATGATTCAAGTCTAATATCAATTCAAACCTAAATATTGTTCAATCTCATGATATAACCTTCAAAACAGCAACACTGTTAATTCATTATTCACAGTCTTAAAATTATTGTTCGTCAAGTGTTTTCGTGCCAAAATAACTTATTCCTTTGTTTAAGTCTCTCTTTTTTGTGTCTTTGAATTCCTTTGAAATTGAATATTTTGCTGGAAGCAAGTCAAACAAACAAACAAACAAGAATAATATTTATACCGCATTAATGTACTTTTCCCATTCAATTTTTATGGCTTTATGTTGTATAAGAGAAAGGTAGGTAGTCGCTTAATTATTAATATCATTACATTCGCGAGCATGAAGCATAATTAAATGCTAAAAAGATTAATTAAATTATTTCACAAGAAAAATAAAAGGCTGAAGTTTCATATTAATTTTAATTAGATCCTTTTTTATCATGTTAAGCAAATTACGGTTCTCTTTTGTATGGAAATTATTACCTGTAATTCAGTTCATCATTACTCATTTCAATTAACTCAAGTATTTGTTATTGTCAATTCTTTTTCTCATTCTCTTGTTGCTTCTAGCGACCGTAACAATTTGACGAGAGGATAATCGCATTAAAAATCCATTATTCTTATCAGTCAGTTGGCTTCCTTCTCTTTCTCTCGCTTGCTATGCCTACGAAAGGGTTTTCGACCCATTTTACGGAACAAATGTGGTTTAATTTTCACTTTTTTATGCTGATGAATTGGATTGTTTGTTTGGTTAATTGAATCGTTAATAACTTTACAACGAAGAAACTTATCGACATTGGGGTTTTGTTAATGATTTTCTGCCATTTCCGAGAATTAATTATTGAGGATACATTTAAAATTGGTAATTTGCAAGGCTGGCAATTTTCGAAAAACTTTCTGAGGTGGAGAGTTGCAGGGGTAAATCAACTTTATAGAATTTTGAATTTTCAGAAACCGTTAAAACTTTAAATGAGAATTTTTGAGTTTAATTGTTCCTAATTGACTGAGTTTTTGAGTTTAGAAGTCTACAGGCTGAAAATTCAAAGCTTCAACCTCAAAACTCAATTCCCACCATCAGATTTCTATAAATCTCACCAATAAAGTAACACATAACCTCATAAATCCTCACAACCTCAATAAATCAGTCCCCAGAAAGCGCTCCATTCATTCACCCACCTACGTCTTTTCCCGTTCAACTTCATTGATTCAATTTATATTCTTACTTTCTTCATATTCTCAGAGAAATAAGTTTGGTTCATTTAATTTATTATGCACACAGTCAAGAACCAGTTTTATTTCTGCATCATTCATTATGTGGCTTGTCATAAACTCAATTGAGGCTTTATCAATTTCCGTTTCAATATTAGCAGCAA